CACATAGGACCTCCGATCGCGACGCGCCGCAGGGCTTCTTTTATTTACACCGGGTCCAACCAAAATGTCCAATCGGAAGCGCCGCTGGTCGTCAGGGCAGATTCCGCCAATGGGGGCCGCCGCGCCATGCGTCAGACCACCAGACACGCGGCCGCCGGCTCGCTGTCACGTGCGCAGCTGACTCACTGCACATGGGCCAGAGGGGCGCCGCGCGTGTTCACGCCGTCGAGGTGATCGCGCCAGGCAGACTGCGGGCTGGCCTTGACCCAGATTGCCTTTTTCAGAGGCACGGACGTTTGACGAGGACTCGCTGGCATAACAGCACCCCCGCCGCCAGACAATGCACCGGAAAGACGAGCTGCTTCCACGGGGCTCGGATGTCAGGTGCGCTCGTTCGCCAGGTCCCTCCAGGTTCGCCTCCAGGGCCATGGGGAGAATACAGCTCCAGACTGTTCCGGGAACACATCCCATTTTTGACGACGGATCCCAGCTCCACTGGCTTGTCGCCACAACTTGCTGACCAGCTTCACTCGTCTCTTCTGACCATCTTCGGTTTCAGCACTTGTCGATGGTTCTGCAACTTGCCAAGAACGGATCGACAACAGACAACACACGACACACGCAAGTGCCTTCGGTCACCCGACAGAACACCAGACAAAGTATAGTACAACATATACCTATCTACGTGTCTATCGGAATTTTGTTCCCTCTACATCAAGAGGCACATGTGGGACAAAAGACCCTTAAAATGACAACTCAATTTTTTTTCCCACGTACAACAACGTAACGGATTAGAATACCACATAAAGTTGGTCCCTTGAGATCACTCTGAACGAGAGCGCTCAGCCCAGGTCGTGATGAGGTCAAAATTTTGCCCCGAATCGCCAGCCAGAAACCGAAAGGTTGAGAAGGTACTAACTAAACGCACTGCTCAATGCACCTGCATTAACGTTTACCTTTCCTTTTTTTTTTTTTCTTGAGCGAACGTCAAAGTTGCGCTGTGGAGCAACATGCTCCACCTCAGTAACCGGCCACTTTTAGGCGACGATACCTATGCGGCACCAAGAGCGGCTCACACTTGCGACGTTGCACAGGGGAACAACGATACGGCTTGCTACTGATTGACTCCTCACCGCTTAGCTCGATATCGTGTTCGATCACCGTCGTGTCTCCGGGACGGTCCGACAACACATACCCAAACTCGGAAACAATCTTTCTCAGGTCCTCTTTCTCAGGTCCTCCTTCACTTAAGCTAGGCTCTAGGTTTATCTGCTCCCGGATTACTTTCGATCCCCCTTCGATCACCTCACTAGAACTCAAATTTTCTGCTTCCTCTTCCTCTGAAGCCTTCAACAGCTGATTTACGACCGCTTGATGTTGAACACTGGGTTTCATCAAGTTGTAAATTTTGTTCTGCCGCCTTCCCACTTGCACCTCATAATTTGTATCGCAAGGCTTCGATAATACTTTGGCGGGCCCTTCCCAATCAACCTGAAGCTTGTTCTTTTTGAACGGCTGCAGCAGCATTACCTGACTCCCTACTTCAAAAGCACGCTTCTTCACCGATTCCCCGTAGTGCTCCTTCGACAGCACTTTTGCCGCGTTTTTCTGGCTTTCCACTAGCGCTTCAATCGAGAGATCCTCACTCCGCTCTCGAATGGGCAGCTCGCTCCAACTTTCCGCTACAGGCGAGAGCGTTGCAGCCCTCTCGCTCTGATTCAATGGCGCCATGTCGTCTCCCCTTTCTCCGGAAACCGCGCAGCTAGGTTCGGCGACGGGCCGCTCGCGTGACTGCTCACATGACTCATGCGGAAACTTTCCTTTCTGGGGTTCCGTCGACCCGCCGACAAGGTCACTTGAGAGTTCACCGCATGGAACCAGGTCCAGCTTCCGCGAAAGCTTTCGCGCTTGCGATCGCGTGAGGGCCATGCACGCAAAGCTGGGGAAGAACGATTTGCCCTGCTCTTTGAGGAGCTGCTCCGAGTTGTTGGAGAAAAGATAAGGAAAACGATCGTTCAGCGCGGCAGACACAGCCGCTTCGGTGCGAAGCTTACCGAACGGGCCTTCAATGACAACCGTGGCGATTGGTAAGCGAACACTCTGCTCCTCGGCGACTTGCCTGATCCACGCGCATTCTCCTGTGAAGTCATCCGGAGACACCAATGAAGGATGGACAACGTCCATGGTTGCCGCTGAGTCTCTAAGTGCTCGGCACGTTTTCTCATTGACCCTAATTTCTTGGAGATACGGCTCCAACAACCGAATGTTTTTTTCTGATTCTCGGATTGTTGCGAAGGCAAATTTTTCCTGACAGTTTCTCGCGATGTGTCCTTCCTTTTTGCAGTTGTAGCAGATTAGCGGCTTCCGTTTGTTTTTCGATTCAAATGCTTGTGTGGTAGAAACCTCACTCGATTTCTCCGCTTCTGTTTGCCCTTCCCCTACACTGTCCTTCGTAAGAGACGGGTCCTTCTTGAAATTACGGTGCGGAGCGGGTCTCCGTTGATCAGGTTTCTTTGAAAAGCCCTCTTTCTCTCATCCTTTTCAACGCGCACTGCCCTGCTGTGCAACTTTCGGCGAGTATAATACTCCTCAGCTAACTCAGCTGCCTTGTTTAACTGTACGTCCCCAAGTCTGTCCTGCAGCCAAAGCCTGACATTATCCTCGATGCAGCGGTAGAATTGCTCCAATGCAACGCATTCCACCACTTTATCGCGGTCGTCATAAACACCTTCGCCCTTGAGCCATTCAATCAAATCGGCTTTAAGACGAAGCGCGAAGTCAACGTGTGACTCATTCCCCTTTCTAGCATACCGGAACCTTTGCCTGAAAGCCTCGGGTGACAACTTATAACGTCTCAAGAGCACTTCCTTAACCTCGTCATAGCTCTCAAACGCTTCCCTCGACAAGCAAGTTATCGCGTCGGACACTTCGCCGGGAAGAAGAGCTAGCAGGTTCCGCGCCCAAAGAGGCCGCTCCAAAGCGTTTCGCTCACAGACGTGTTCAAACTTGACGAGATACTTCGCCATGTCCTCGCCTACTACGAACGGTGGCAGTTGGTCCCGAATTCTAAAACCGCTGACCTGAATCGTCGGAGAAGCTACGCTAGGCGCCTGCGAACACTGTAGGATTGCCAATTCTAGTCGTTTCAACTCTAGGCGCTCTTGTCTCTCGGCCTCCTCGCGCTCGCGACGTTCGCGCCTTTCAGCTTCTTCGCGAGCTTCGCGCCTTTCAGCTTCTTCACGTTCGCGAGCTTCGCGCCTTTCAGCCTCCTCACGTTCGCGAGCTTCTACTTCTCGCCTTTCAGCCTCCTCCCGGCGTGCTTTAATATCCACCCAGGCCTCATCGACTTCCTCAGCCGACACTCCCTCATCCTTCATGATCTCAAGGATCGCTTGCTTTCGTTTCGCACGGCCCAAAGTAATGCCGAGTTCCTCACAAATTTCGACGAGTTCCTTCACTTTAAGGTTCTCCATCGTTCACACTAGCCTCTTGCTGTTTGCCCCTGTTAACAATTTACTTGCCGTACCCACTATAAGTCAACTAGCAAGACGCGCAAGCAATTTTTCACTCTCCCGTGTTTACCCCCTCCGCATTAACTTTGGTTTCAAAGCACTTCGACTTTGCTTGAAACGATCAAAGCTCACTCTAATGCTTCACACAGCCCTTCTCTAAACTACTACAACCTGAGCTAGAGTAGTCTGGTGAACTGAGGGGAAAACATCAGGCACTCACCGCATCGATGTCGCTGACGCCGGCCGATCCCGCAGCTGCCAACCACTGTTGCGAACGACGGACCGATCCCGCCGAAGCCACCACTGTTGCGAAAGACGGCGACGCCAACCCGGTCCCGATGGCGCCACTGCTTCCAACTCCGCCGGGAAGGTCACCAGCCGTTTGGTAGCGTATGTTTATCAGCTCGCGACTGCTTCTGCGCAGAGCCGATAAGACGAGCGGACGAGACGACGGTGAGTTAAACAAGGTTTATGTACAGCATATATACAGAGGCGTTACAATTTCGGCACTGGGGCCGACAGAGACTCGAAGAGCCGAGCTCTCCTCTCTAACACATAGGTCAGCCTTTCGCCTAAGACCGCTGACTCACACACATGTCGGCACTCCGACACGGGGACGCCTCTCACATAGGACCTCCGATCGCGACGCGCCGCAGGGCTTCTTTTATTTACACCGGGTCCAACCAAAATGTCCAATCGGAAGCGCCGCTGGTCGTCAGGGCAGATTCCGCCAATGGGGGCCGCCGCGCCATGCGTCAGACCACCAGACACGCGGCCGCCGGCTCGCTGTCACGTGCGCAGCTGACTCACTGCACATGGGCCAGAGGGGCGCCGCGCGTGTTCACGCCGTCGAGGTGATCGCGCCAGGCAGACTGCGGGCTGGCCTTGACCCAGATTGCCTTTTTCAGAGGCACGGACGTTTGACGAGGACTCGCTGGCATAACAATAGCAACTTGTCAGTAAACCACAGCGTCCAAATACCTAACCGACACCAGTCAATAGAGAGAAAGAAGGCAATTATTCCACACGGACGATCTGCTTTCCCGAGAAGATTGTTCCGTTGACTGCATTTTCTCAGTTGTCAACTAGACCGTGTCGATTCTGGTCGCGATTCCACCACATGGCTGGCCCCGAACAAAAAATTGAAGGTGCTGCGCCAGCCGTGATAGCGTCTTTGTAAGCAGGGCTTACAATATTGTCTCTGCGACTACGCCATCAGTGGGGTCAAACGCTTTACCGCATGTGCTGTTGTGCGACACCGCGCCATCACCCCATCCCTTGTGTCATCGGCCAGTAGCGAGCCTTTTCTTTGCTTAACACAGACAAGTATGTCGTTTTCCCCTTTGAAAACACGTCTGATCGGTTCCGACAAAAAAAAGCAAACGAAATACTCACTTTCAGCACACAATCGCGATATCAACATAGCATCGTAAATGTATTTCGCTGCTGAAATACAAATGAATTCCTCAAATGCATCTTGAGTCTAACGCTCTTCCAACTGAGTTATTTCCTGGTAGATCAGCTGCGACTGATCTACAGAGCTGAACGGACGGCTCATGCCAGTGAGGCCCGGATTAGAGGCACCACCCTGCATGGATAGACTACGCTCTTCTCCCCGTATATTTCCTGCGTGGTACTGGAGTACTAGCCTGGTCTGGTTTATGTATATAATAAAGTTTTGTACTACTACTACTACTACTACTACTACTATTACTACTAATACTATTGCTGCGGCTGCTGCTGCTACTACTACTACTCGGATGTATTTCGATAAATAAAAAAAACAACACTCAGTAGTATCATGGTCCTTAAATACTTTTTAAAGCATTAAAGGACCATGGCAGTTTCTCTGAGTTACCTGTATACGTTTTCCCTCTCCCCTTCGATTAAAAACTTCCCTTGCTGCTGTCGAAATTTCGCTGTATGACGTGGCTGCAGTTCTTTGCTGCGGCATAGTTGAGTGTGCTCCGAGCAGCGTTTGGACACATTTTCAGGGACTTCAAGTGTCGTTGTGGTGATGCCATTAGGGTGTGCCACATTAGCAACCTGGACATGAAAAGAAGGTCTCGATGAACTACGTCACTACGTTACTCTTCTAGAAAAACAGGCTATAGACAATACGCGTAGGCCGTAGTCCTCATGGGCGAAGACGCTATTTCTCCAGTCAATTAAAAATGTACATCTGGGCTAAGGCTGTTTCCTTCTGCGTGAACGTCGCCGGGTAGTTGTAGATGAGTGCGTCGAGTTCCTCCTGGGCCGATGCGAAGCTGTGGTTGTTCTTTCGTGCTGCGCATGCATGAAACAGAAACAATAGAGGGTTTCAAAGCAAAGAAATTCGAAACGGTTGCAGTGCGTATCAGCGCCACGAGCAGCAAGTGCAGGTAGATTATTAAGCGCTAGTACTCGATTACCTTCTCCCTACCTACCAGTTATCTCTGTGGCCTCAGTGGCGATATGTCTCTGCCAAGGGTCAAGAGGGTTTAAAAAAAATTGCCTGGAGTGGAAATTCTTGCCCACAAGTGAAGCAGTGCCAACCGTAAGATGGCGGCTGCGGCAGCCATCTTAGTAGGGGCATGATAAACTATACACGTTCGCCAATCGAAAAGGAGCGTTTTCCTCGCACGCTCAGCGAGTTTAACGATGGACACCTTTTAGGGTCCCATAGTGCTCAAAGTGTGTCCTTGTGTTAATAGTTTTCTTTAGTAAGCCTCGATTTCAAGGCAAATTTCATTGGAGATCAAGTCACGGATACTAATGTCTGTGGATTGTTTCTTCGAAAACAGGTATCTTTTAACTTATAATAACATAAACTTTAGATCAACAAATCAAATGCACTTGATGTCTAAGTGGGCACCACCAGAAAATAGCATGTTTCTCAGATATTTGGAGGGCAAAAGCTGCCTTCTCTACTGCTGGCAAAGCATTGCAGGTGCTTCCACTCCAACAACTTTTTTTAAGCCTTCTTGGCCAGGGTACGGTAAGTGGCGCCATTTGCGGCGCTACGGGGCGTGTCCACACAGTGGGCTTGAAATTTGTAGCGTTTTATTCAGTGTATACATGATCGAAATACGATGCGCGTGTGTTTAGAAAAAATGGTTAACGATTTTGAATACGTAGGTACTCTACCATGGGGGAGCATAAAGCCGTCCCGTATCAGAATAACAGCAGACCTTTACTGATGGAAAGTCTGTCACGTCCGCAACCTTCCCTTCTAGACACTTTCACATACCAAAACATCTGACACATCCCACCATTCTTTTAATCTTCCACGTTAAAAGTCTGGAGGGACGCCTGGCAGCCATCCAAGACCGGGAGACAATGGTGAAGAAGCGATGTTTTTTAAAATGTTTTTAAACAAAATCTTGGCATAAAAGCATGCAATGTAGCCAAAAAAAGTGTGGAGAAAATTAATATACTCTGAAGTGTATCAGTGTGACGATCTTAAGCGGAAGTGCTTGAAAAGACTTCTTTCGTGGCGGTAGCACCAGACCCTCACCTATATCGTATGTCTCAGCTAACTGGAACAAAGATTTCATTGAACAAAAACATAGGCTCTACGGGAGTTCTAGCTGCAGAGTATTAATGGTGGCCGAGTGTACATATATCTTACTTTTTACTAAGTATTCAACCTTAATCAGCCGTTTTTTTCATTAATGCTCGTATCGAAAATATATTGATTTTGGTCTCTACACCCACCTAAAACAACCTCATAATCAATCATTTATTTTTTGCTACAATCTATCTCATTGTTTCTGTTCGATAAAGAAACAATAACGTGCAAAACGCGCAAAATATGCAACAGAAGCGCGCTCTAGCGGCGGTATACTGTAGCGCTTCCAAGCAAACTTGAGGAGGCGCGGCTCTAATCTTTTAGCACCACACTGTACAGGGCTTCATGCAAGTTTTTTAGCAGACACGAAAAAGGCGTGCTTTCATGCCGCGTTGATCAAAGAACATTCACCAATGCGTCGATAAGTGAATGCAGCGGTGATGCCTGCAATGAAATTTTGCAAGCAAATGTTCCAAGTAAAAAGGTTGAATTAATTGATCCGCGTGACCAAGTGTCTATTGAATATTTGGTGTGTTTCTCACAGTTATGTTTCTGTCTGAGAAAAAGCAACCAAGCAGCCAGTTACAACACAAAGTGAACGTTCAATTCGTAGGTTATTTGAGACAGCTCACAACTTCAAGTTGACCATTTATTGATTCGATCAAAAAAAAAAATAATCACCGCCCAAGCACTCCAGACAAAAACCATCTCCAAGCTTTAGCACGTGCACCATACCTTCATCCAGGAAAAAGTTTCCCAGGTACTGAGACACTCGCACAGCATCCTCGGTGTGGGGAATGTGGATGTGGTCCTTCCTTTGCGTCCACTCGAAGTTGTTCTTCTCAGGATGGAACTGGACGCCGTAGAAAGGGTACGAATATGCTGCCGAGAGACAGTCCATGAATCAATCAGTCATTCTTTGATTTCGTTCATTCGCTTGCTTCATCAATCGGTCTATATCGTCTTCAACCAACCATCCGGTAAGTCAATGTACTTTTATGTTACAAGATCAATGAGGCCTTATTGTTTCTCTTCTACAGATCTCTCTGGAAGAATATCGAACTGTTTGAAGCCTATCAGACATAACTCCGAGCACCATCGCTCCACACTTTCCTCAAATCACCTCGAAACCTTCGTCATTTTATCCACACTGCCGCTTCTGTGGAGAGCCCAGGTTCATTCGACATTCAGTAAGAGGCTGCGGACAATCCCTACTAAACACCAATTTCCGTACTTTTACCACACCAACCGCCTTTAGTACAAAGCTTCGGCCAGCTCCAAACGTGATGATCAGCCGGTCACGTGGGGTCCAGGGCACGACTTGAACTCACGGCATGTAGCAGTAAGTCCGCCTCTTCTAAGCTTTCTTCTCAAATAAATAAAGTTTGTCTATTCCCTCTCTTTTCTGGTCCACCTTACTCTTCTTAGCTTACTCTTCGCCGCTACATCAGCTGTGTTTGCAGCTATCAAATGGCAAGCGTGTTAGTCACGCGAAAAGGCTCCCTCGAAAAGTAAAGTAGTGAGTGCAGAGTTCTACAGAAAGGAAACGGAGTGCAGTCGCATGATGACAGTCGTTGCACGCAAAAGATGCGGGCCATATATCGTTCCAACCATTATTAGAATGTAGCACTACTTTTCGTACGCTACTTTATACAGCTCTTTAATTACCTTCCATGCTGGAGATGAACGTCACGCCATTCGCGTCCACGTTCGTCGAGGTGAGGCGAAAGAGGTTGTCCAAACCGAAAGTCGTAAAGTTCTGCAAACAAACGAAAAGAAGCAACATGAAATAACGGTGACGACTCCTATGTCGACCACCAAAGTTACCTCGGAGACTTTTCCTTAGCTAGGCTACAGCCTGAAGTGGTGCGCGAAGCAAAGGTAGACGCGACGTGAGAAACCGGAAGTGAGCAAGAGACCAGATGTAGAAACAATCAGCGAGCACAACACCTGAAGACGCCGGTGCCGACTTGAAGTGGCGCAATAAATGTAACGTACAGTAGTTTGGGTTGAATGTCCTGCAGGCTGGAGTCCTTCTTCAGGCGCGCCTTGCAAAACTTTTTGAACGTGGTTAATAAATGATGCCAATAAGAACTCGAAGCCCCTACGAATACGTACGTGTGCCAACTGTTGTGCCACTGCACGCAGCAGATAATTAACATTTGTATATCAAAGACAGCTAGAAATCTATTGGTCTTCTCTCGACAATTGCTGTCATCGACGGACACGACTACGTTATAGGAGGAAAGGACGTGGCCATTGGCTGGCTATAGCGTTCCTGTGCTGCATAGTTACGGCGGCTCGTTAACGCGTGACGCATTGTTCCACCACTGGCCTCGGTAGTATGCCAGAATTACACAAATGTGACACTGCCACGCTCGCATTTATACCGAAAGTGAGCGGACGCGTTCAAAGACCGAGAAAAGTGCAAGAGCACCCACTGATCCAGCTTCTTGCCTTTACCGTCGCTTCGCCATCTTTATCTATAGATGTGAAGCAGTTATTTGACTAGCCTGTGTAACGCTGTCCTGTAAATCCGTATGAGCCCCCTTGCCGCAGGTGTTGGAGTGGTGCCAAGTAGGTCAACTAGCAGCTGTGCGTTTATGTCACTCTCTTCCTCACCCTCAGCAGCTGCTTGACCCTCCGCCTGCTCGCAACACACTTCTCTCTCTCTCTACACCCTGTCCACCACCCACAACACTCGACCGCACGTCGAGTGGCAACACTCTTTCGGCTCGTTTATCTGCGATGAAACTTACACGAAACCCAACCGCCCTCCCGTGTCTTTGCGTTTAAAACAATGGTTTACTCGAGTAAACGCTACACCAAGTTCGCTTCAAACATAGAGTTTCCTAATATACACTAGAGAGAACTCTGGCGCTAGTGTCTATGGGCGCTGCAAAGCAGCGCTTCTGCGAGCATGGGAATGATGGGTAGTACACACATTTGTCTAAACTTCGTACTTCTCGACTGCTTTTGGCTCCGTGTGTGTTGGTGTGGCTTGGAGCTGTTTTCTCACGAAACAAAAATCGGCAAATGTTCAGCGGTTGCGCTTCACCACCTTATTTTTTAGATTTACTTTTCCGAATCGGGTCACGAAGTTCAATAGGGTTGAATCTTTTTTTTTTTTTGAAAACGAAACCGAAACAGCAATAAACGAAGCCGCAAGTACGATTCGCCGCCCCCAAGTACGAAGACTAGGCAAATATGTGTACTACCCATCATTCCCGTGGTCGCTGAACGATCGCAGTGACAGAGTCCCCTATACTTAACTTTGGAAACTCTATGTCTTTAAACCGTTCTTCCAGTGCATGCGTCTACGCCCGTTTCAACAGGTTCAACGACGTGCGCACCGCTGCTGCTTCGCATCCCATCCGAGTACCCTTCGGGGAGATGATTCATAATTTTTTTCTCCTGCGTGGATTCCAGCGTGATCGCCGGAAAGAAGAGAAAAGCCACTTAAAGCGTGCCACCAATTCCTCTATTCCACTGTTACTTGACGGAAGGATTAAAAAAACTATACTGGTGATCTACTTGTGAGGCAACGCACTCCGATGGGGAGTTCATTGAATTACTAAGGGCTTAGATGCATCACCAAACGCTAAAATTCACCGGCGTCTTGCGTCAGCTTCTCCCATCGGCGGCATCAACAGAAGTGATGCCAAAAACCATCATCATATGATGGCATTTTTGTCGTAAGAAGGGCTCGGTGGAGTGGGCCAGAGGTCTTGAATGCAATTCATAGGGCGTTGTAGGAATTGGTGCAGCAGGGCTGGTAGCTGCGTTCATATGAAGGAATCTCCAGCAAGCCACAGAGAAATGCCGTACACAAAAACTGGCCAGAAAACAATATTAGTTTAACCCGTGTTCGTGCGCCGCACCATGGTCAGACCTTCTTTAACGCTCTCCTATGACGGACCATTCCACGTCCTTAACCGCACCCCCAAAAGTCGTCTACATTGGAGCGTAAGAAGAAATTCTTTTCTCGGGGCGGGGGTGCACATTTTTTTTAATCTGATGTGGGGGCCGGGCCTACAAATGATCATTTTGCCTTTTGTATACGCTATGGCAACAAAATTCAGGGGGGAGGGGGGGGGGTCATAGGCCTGGTGTTTCACCCTTTGGCTGCACCACTGCGGTCTGCTACAGAACGGCCGCGAAGGAAGTCAGCTTGGGCCGACTTAAGCCGGCGTTCCTGGTTCCATAGAAAGCCTTTCTTCTATAGATATACACCTGACCCACCTTTGAGCAAGAATAGTATCATGTCACATTTCGACTTCCAATCCACACGGAGCCTCTGTAGCGCCATCTTTTGGGTGGTGCACAAAACCAGAGAGCACGCAACCGCACGTGAAGCACGTAAAGAGGGCGCTTGGCTGTGGCCCGTGAAGCTACGGCTCGCGTTCCCTGCTGGCGTAGGTTATGGTTAAGCCATCTCGTTCCTTTGCTCCTGAAGCATAAAAGCCTTCAACGTCACCACATTAAAATTCATGATGTTACAGATCGTCAAAATTAGTGATGTCACAATGATGTCGCATACCGTCACAGGACGCCGAATGTTTTACGACATTATGACGTCACAGCCAGGTGACGTCATGTGTCACATGATGACGTCATCAAGTGACATCGTAGCTCGGACAAATAGTGGGCCAATCACATAGTCTCTGCCAAACCAGGTAAGATGCTTTCGATCTTGGAGGCCGCGGAAAACCCCGTCAGGCGTAGACAGCTTCCGGAGGGGTGTGAGGCAGGAACAACACATCGACTGAGAAGAATGAGAACAGTAGGATTTCACCTTACAGTCGTCACAGGAAACCCTGCATAAGAAACCCTGTGGCTTCTATCTTAAAGAGTGTTGCAACGTTCTGCTTGGGCGGACTCGCTTGCTGGATTTCGTGCCGACCGGTTGTACCCCCGCGATCTCCGACCACAGCACAGTTCTGGCCGACTGGCTCGCCCTTCGCCATCTCCGGACGCCGACAAGAGCTCTGGCTGAGTGGTGCCCCGTCCTCGGACTTCTGCGACCGTGTCCATCTTTCCTATCTTCTCCTTACTTCCGTATGTGACTGTCCCTGCGCCTTTCTTTCCTCTTGCTCCTCTCTCTATGTCTATACATTTTACTCCTATCCTTCCAATCCCTCCTTACCCCATCTCTCGTGATCTACTGTTGAGGTGTCCTCCCCCTGAGAGACAGTTACGGAGCTCACTTTTATATTCTTTTCATTCAAAAATCACCTTCCCTCCACCCTCCCCAAGTTCTGTTTGGCTAGAAAATAGCAGCTCTGGTCAGCAACGCAGCAGAAGATCTCGCAAAAAAAAACTTCGCTTTGAAATGTACTGGTCGACCATCCCACCTCCGGTGTAAGGCACGCCTCGTGGAAGTTGAACGTGATGGGCTGGGTCATCAGCGCCTTCTCCAGAGACCTGGGAAGCCCGTTGAACATACGGCTTCTTCGGAAGTCTTGGAGATCGCAAGAACAGCAATAGCAATAGGTGTGAGCACACAATATATATATATATATATATATATATATATATATATATATATATATATATATATATATATATATATATATATATATTGAGAGAGAGAGAGAGATCGGCAATCAAACAAAATAACTAAGTTATCATTTGTAAACTAACTGAACAACGCCTGTTATCAAGGCTTGTGGCTGGCTGCATTCGGCGGAAGCGACAGCAGGAGCCGAAACACTTAACAGATCGGTGGAATAACTTGGGCTTGCAGGTGTATGAAACCGGTGGAATACACAGGGAGACAAAGGGCAAGGAAGATGACATTAGTACCCAACGTGCTTATCCATTAGTGGATATGCATTCAGCGAGAACTTTTAACTACAGCAAGACTTAGGCAAGAACTGCAACAGCGAGCCACTATGTCTAGGATTTAGATTGTTATTACATCGCTCGGTATCCCTGCTCACCCCTGGTGAAGTTAAGCGGCAGTGCCAGGTCGTGGCCCTGGCACAATCGAAGGACGAGCTTGTCGATGGCCAGTCGCGAGAGTGCCTGAAAGCCCAGACAGGTACCCACAGCGGGAAGTGCGTGCCTCGGTTGTTTGCCTGGGTAAAAGAGCGTCGCGCATCCATCCGAACTTCCGTGACTACAATTAGTGCACTCATAGGCATGCGCCGGGCTTCCGGTCGGGGGAGGGGGGGGGGTCAATTTACAGGGCTGAATTTACGCCCCTACCAATTAGGGGCGTTAATTGTACTGCATTGTACTTGGACCTGTACTAAATTTTACACAGAAATGAAATCAGCGCAGGATTTACAAGTGCCCCAAGACCTACGTAAGAACCATATTTGCATTATTCTCTGGTATTTTTTGGTGTTCTTCATCGCCATACGAGCCTATTATAGTCATTTAAACGCAATTGAAATGGTACTATTTTGGTCCAATAGCATAGAGGGCTGACCAGTTCAATCCAAACACTTACTTAAATAGACGACCTTCCCGTCGATTTCTATCCATTCGTTATGATGGCATAGCTTCCAAATACCTCAACGGCAAGGTCGAAAATGATCTTCGCGACTTTGAAATAGCCAGAGCTGTTCAAGTCGGCCTCCTCACCGGGAAGGAGAACACTGCAAAGAAAAACGCGAAAAAAATTACAAATGAACTGCGAAAGAGTCAACTGTTGCGCGAATTGTGCCTGTCCTCATGTTTCTTCTTGTGTGTTGGGTTTAGTTGTGCCCTCACGATACGGAATTACAAATCTTTGTGCTCGTACTCATTGCA